TGTGTGTGTGTGTGTGTGTGTGTAGCTTATGGATCTTGTGTCCTGTAAGAGCATCTAGTAATTTCTTCATGGCTACCTCCCTGTTATAGTTTTATAAATCTTTGCTTTTCGATCCTGTATATGAGTTTGTTTAAACTGCGGATCTGGCACTCTTTGTTTTCTTTTCAGGATAATAAATGATGCAAACATGGAGCATAGTTATGAAGGTCTCTTGTGGACATTGAGGTGTGTTCTGCCTGATTTTCATCGGTATATTAGCTTTATTACGTTGTACTGGACATGTGGCACTGACTAGTCTTCTATTATATATTATCACTGTTTGTGTTACTTCCATTTACTGTTGGTAATTTCTAACTTTGATGGTACTGCCCCATAAGATTCTGCATTAGTATGCTAATATATAGGAGTACTCTGTTTCTTTTTTACATTTTCTTCTGAATTCTCCTCTCAACCTATCTAGGAGTCTTCAAGGACTTTCTTTGATGCTGTGGTTTCCTGTTCCAGCACTGCAAACATCTTCAGAGTTGTCATCCACATTTAATGGGGTAACAGTCTGTTCTTTCAAAATGTGTTGGCATATTCAATTTTTTGACACCTTGGTGACCTGTTTGGCCTTTTGCTGTTAAGTATATAGAACTTTTTGTTGCCTTATAGCTGGTAAGATTGTTATTTGAATATTTGAATTATTTGCATTTTTGAGCTCTATCTTTCTTGTACTTGTGTGTTCATAGTTTGTCAAAAGCTGTTAACTAAGAACTTAAAATCGGGGAAAATAGAACACAATTAAATGGTGCAAAGATAGAAAGATGAATTTTCTAATTCAAATTTGATGAAGTGACCTTTCTAACCTTTCTGCTTTTGACAATGGGGGAATTTGAGGGGGTGTTTTTGCAAGAGTGATAGACTTAAATTAAGTACACCAATTAGCTTGCTCTCACTTTTAAATGTTCTGGCTTTTGTCCTTGAAGTAGTTTTAAATTTGAGCTGTTGCTCTGTTTTTGGATTGAGACCCTTTATGGGAATGTAAGAATGCTCTTTTCTTGATTATTCCATATTGATTTTCTTTTGAATTTGAGACAGATTTCTTTCCTAACCTTTATATGACTGCATAAGATGGAAGCTTCCCTGCCTAATCGTTTTTCTTTTATTGTCTTTGCTATTTTCCCTTTTTTTTTGGGGTCTCATGCTGGCATTTGCTTCGATTTCCTAAAACACGGGCAGAGNGGGGTCTCATGCTGGCATTTGCTTCGATTTTCTAAGACACAGTGGCAGTTTGGGCGATTAGCCTCTCACAGGGATAGTAGCTTGAGGTATTCTTCCCTTTGCAGTCTAAGACCCCATCATGTCAGAAAGCGACTATTACATGGTTCTCTATCTCACCTCATGGATACGGGGTTTTCACCACAACATTAATAAAAATAACTTTACCCCCCAAAAAATAGTGACCTCAGTTCACCAAAATCTAGATTTCTCAGCTACAACATCTTATGCTAGGAAGAGACTTAATGAGCTTGCGATTTTGCATTTTATTAATTTGAAATACCATCTTATTGGATGAATTTCAGTAAGATACTGATAAAGAGCGCACTCAGTTCACACTGTTCACACTCAGTTTGAAATACCATCTTATTGGATGAATACCATCTTATTGGATGAATACCATCTTACCAAAAAAAAGATGCTGTCTCATTGCCCATTACAAAGATTTTTTACCAATGTTTAAATGCTGGAGTTTGGATGATAAGCTCAGTTCACACTGTTTACTAGAATTTTCTTTATTAAGTAAACTAAATATTTTAATAGGATATTTTGTATAGAAGCCTTAATCAAGTTTATTGAAAAAAGATTTGCATGTGAAATCACAAGGACGGGAAGATTTAAGTAAGGTGGACGAACTATCAGTAAGTAGTTAATACCTGATTTAACAGCATGACATACCTTGATTGGTGGTTTTTGCATTAGACGCTGAATTAGCAGCACAAACTCGGGTGGCCCAATATTCAAATATCCTTGTGGCAAAAAGAGGAAAGAGGAACAAATGTTTCACGCACAAGTCTTTTTTTTTAATTGTTCACTTGGGGATTTGTGGTCCCTGGCAACCATTTTATAGGGACAACCCGATAAAATTCATCTATTTGTTTTTTTGGTTTAAGGATTTAGCTCTTGACTGTATTTGCAGGTTGAAACAGGTTGGCGTACGATATGGAACTGTGTTATTGGTGGTTTGCCCACATTCAGTACTTTTACAGCAGTTGTAAGTTGTGACTTCATTGATCTTTTAAGGATGGAGTCCTGTTTCTTTTTCTAGTATTTGGGTGTGGTATAATGCTGGTAGCGTGCTTCCAAATACTCAAATATATTATTTCCAAATTTGATAAGGAAACACGACCAAAGCCACATGTAGGATAGGTATTAGAGGCTGGGCATGTAGAACTCAAAAGGTATCCATCAAGTAAACCAACTCATCTAGTGTCATGCTTTTTGCATCCCATTTTTTTGCGACACTATTTGACGTCAATAAGCATGAAGGGCTTAATTCAATTTACATGTTATGTAATTTAAGGTGATAAACAGTATATTTTTTGTTAGAAGTGAATACAAAGTTAGTTTGATAGAATAAAACCATCACATTGTGGTTACGGTTTAAATTGGTTAATAAATTAAGAATTCTTGAAACTGATCTGTGACAGGTCTTGGATTGTTCTGTTTATTTGTTCTTAGTCAGTTAGCTTCTTTTTGTTTTGTTTGATGAAGCTCGTCCTTAGTTTGTTGTTTAAGCCATGACTTCTCGTCCTTTAGCCTTGTACTGCTTACTCTTCTATTGGAAGAATCTTTTGCTGAAAGCAGTCATGAATATCTTTTACTTCAATTACTAAAAGTTCATTAGTTCCATACTTCCATTTGCCCTGTACTCTGAATGACTAATGCAGTTGCAGTTACATAGTAATTATGATGTTTAATTTGCAAGGGCTTCTAAGTCTTAAGTACCAATGCTAAGTGATTTTCCTACATATTTGGGAATGCTGAAGTACTTTAAATCTGAACATACTTTTATTTTGTTGATTTCTTCTCTGAATGTCGGATATCCTATTCAAACATTGCTGTGTAATTAGGTGTTTTAAAGTAAAAAAATGCAATTCAAGTGATTCTGACTCGGGTATTTAGAAATCAATTGTCTGCCTTTGTTGACTCCAGCAGCATCGATAGAGTTTTATGGATATTTATGTTAGGATGAGTATATATTCTTAAACATAAGTTGCTTAAATGTTATTTGAGCAGTGCAAGATTTTCTCTTATTTGCTGATTATTTCATATATCTGTCTTTTGTATCTTCAAGTTTGATTCTCTAAAAGCAACTGATTGCTGTTTGTAGGAAAATGTCTGAAAGAGTACGGAATCATTTTTTTAATAGTGTAATTAAATTTTGTTAACAATTTGGCCCCAAAACCAAAAAATAGAAAACCTACAAAAAGATAAGATTTTCTATGAATGACATCCAATCATCTGTACATAACGGAACTTCTTGGGTGCACCAAATAGCTACAAGGAATAAGAGGCTACTCAATTGTACAAATTTATTACGACACCATCAAAAGCACTCCTATTTCTTTCTCTCCATACGATCTACATAAGTGCAAGTGTAACAACATTCCACGCCCTGCGTCTTCTCCTCCCTCTACCACACTCCAAGCTGAAAAGAATTTCTTTGGCAGTGCCTGGCATCACCCACTCAAGTCCAAACTGTCTCAGGATTTCCCACCATAGCCTCGAAGTACCTGACAATGTAGAAGAACTTGTCTTGTTTTTTGTTTTCTTTGATGGGTGAGAACTTGTCTTGGGTTAATGAGCCCTTCAAAGTCTCGTTTAAGAAAAATTGAACCGGTGCCACAATGTACTTGGGATGCAACTTGCAAGTTCTCAACAAATAAGTAACTTATCAGAACAGATTGGCTTCAACATATCTTCAGCCTGCACTACTGGTGGGAGAAAAACAAAGCAAATGAAATGTTTTCCATTAAAAAGTATATCTGATAAGTATTTAAGTTGTCTGCAAGTAGTTTTTTCTTGTGAAGAGAATATTCAGAGTTCTTAAATCTAAGACAAGTTATTAGGCTACTTGTTTACTTTCTTGTTTACATGTATATGCAGGTGGATGCTGCATTAAGGCTACTTAGAAACATAATACTCAATGTGAGCACTATCCTTTTGCAGAGTTGTGATATTTTTCTTGATTTATTTCTGTTGGAATATTTTGGACGTCTTCCTCTTGTAGCATGTAGCTATATCAGTGTGTTAATGTCTTTGTTTCTTATTTCTTTTAGGATAAAATGAATGCATACCTTGTGCCCCAGGACTTGTGGGATCTTCGATTACTTAAACGCGTGCCATCAATGTAAGTAATTCATTCTTTTCATATTATTATGGGAATTAGTATATGAGCCTACTGATGTCAGCATCATTTTATTCTTTGGAATCTCGAATGTACTCTGTTAACTTGTTGTAAATTGTCCTGTTAAAATGAAAAATTAAGTGCACATTGCTTATGAAAACACTTAGTCTATTGTGTTAGTCAACTTATTATTTGCAAATATTTTGTGTTGAACTTCCACACAAGAGAAATGAATCGAAAATCTCATTAAAGAGGCACTTCTTGAATTATCTTCACTCTATCTTTTCGAGGAAGCATTCTTGTAGCTTTTGGAGCTTAAACCTGCAATGAGCTATGATAAGAGTGGTATTACAACAATATGCCATTCTAGAAGCCCTTAGGATAGGTAGAAATGGGTCTATTATAAAGGTATCCTGAATCTGAACTAGAACAGAGAAGACTTGTGTACTATCTATGCATGTCATAGAGGTAAAGGTACAAAAGGTTAAATTGAAATGCCTTGTAGGGAATTTATAGATTCTCATGCAGTGTCTTATATAGGTGATAGTGCCCCTATCAGACAGTATATCTCGAAATTGGGCAAATTAATCTCTACAGCATGATGGTTATGTTGAAGGACTGAGTTTCTTCATTATTCTGCATCTACTTGATGCTTATCAATGATATCTCTCATACTTCATCAAAAAAAGGACTGAGTTTCTTCAGAATTCACTGTTACTGCTTGCTTCCCAAACAAATTGGATACGGATGATCTCTGATGAATTTGAGCTTGTAAATAAGTGCTCAAGTAGGTTTTTCTTACTAATCGTCTGTCAAAAAATGAGCGTCGTCTGTTATAAAAGATGAAATGTGAAGGTTGGTTAGTAAATGGTTAAATTTCAGACATTGTTGATGATGTGTTTGCAACCTTGATTGTTCAACATGGTCATAGCTCCCTTATAGAAATGTCTGTACCATATTGGAATAAAGAAAATTCTGTTAGTGAAAGAAATTATGCATATTTCTGGGAACAACCTGTGCTTTACTAAATATAGTTCAACAGAATGTTTACTTAGTATAGCTCTCTAGTCTCACCTCAAATGTCACAATGAAATGATAAAGCCACCTCCTTATCAAGGAGAATCGATAAACCACCAAGATTCCCAACCACTTTGTACCAGAGGAGCATAGAATGCCATTCTGCCCCATATCTAGGGGTCTTTAATGTTATTTGAGGATTATAATAGGTTGTACAACATTTACTGTGTGTAATGCGACATCTTTTGTGAGAGCAAAATTAAATTCACATAAATAGAGACCTTAATTCCTGGTTTTCTTAGTATACTAGACTCTCTTCTTTTATGTCCTCTGAGATTATATGATTATTCTATGATGTATGTTTGAAGTAGTTTGATCACTTATGAAACTTTTGACTTGAAGTGTTTTATTTGTTGCTCTTTTCGATCTGCACTGATTTTGCTGTCTTCTCATCTTTCCCCTTCGATTTTCAGATCTGTTTTGTGCTTCATTTCGTGTTACTTTTCAAGGAAAGGCTATCAAGTAAGTGCTCCTCTAATAAGTTCTTTCTGATTTTTGCTTTATATTCCTCTTCGGTTTTCCGATGAGGGTTAGAAAAGAAATACATCCTAATCATTTGATGAAGGCATGGTGGTAAACACAATTATTGAAATTATTCATGCTGTTCTTTTGGTTGATGCCTTAAGATAATGTCTTAACTCTGCATTTGCAGATAGATCTTTTAGTCCCTGGATTATTGACATTTTGTTAACATTTTGATGGTGGGCATCCTTTCTCTCTATCCACTCTTCGAAGTGCATCTAAGAGTTGTAGTCTCGTCACTGGGATTTAAATTAAAATGAAAGCTGCTATTCCATCTTTACTAGTTTTATATTCTATAAATAGTTATACAATGAAGGCTTCTTTTTGATAAGTCAACATTTCAAAAAAAATTTTAGTTTGTTTATTGTATCAGCACCAAGAATTTTGTAATTTCTGATACTTTAGCACCGAGGCTTTTATTATACTTTGATAAGTTAGCACGAAGGGTTTTCTACGAGGAAAAAACTACATTTACAGATGAATCATCTAATGGGAAATAGTAGATACAAGAATTTGATTCATCTGTTCCTTATCCCAAAAAAAAAAAATCCAAAATTTGATTTATCTGCAGAAACCTTTTAATACTAAGCCAATTAAGTGAAATATGCAGTGTTTTCAGAGGCTCATTTGTGGCGCACTTAAGCCTTGAAGCTCAGGGTAGGCGCTTCGCCTCATTTAGGCTTCTTCATTGTAGACAAGGCACTGCAACGTGCGCCTAATTGCTCATAAGTTGTATCCTGAATAGAGCTGTACTAGACAATAAATACGATTGGCAAAAAATATATATTAATCATTTGATTGTCAAGGAAATTATTATGAATTAAGTTGTCACTTTTTCTTCGTTGCGCCTTTTTTTAACTAAAGCTCACACTTTAATTGCGCTTTGCGCTTAAAGCCCGGATAGACCTGGAGTGCTTTTTAATGCTTTTTTGCTTTTGACAATGGAAAGATGACTTGTTATATGCTCTACCAAATTTTGGTCATCCTTGGAAGTCTCTCATATTAGGCTAACAAAGTGATAACAGCCACGATGAAACAACAATGGAACTAAAAGGCCTATTCGTAGGAGATTTAGTGCTCTTTTTTCTTAATGTTTTAGAGATTTTCTCTGTTAGCAAGCCGGGAATACATTTTTTTTTGTAGTTTTAGGGGTCGTTCAGTTACCAGGATGGGATAGACAAGGATATCCCATGGGATTAGCTATCCCACCTTCTATATGGGATAGCTAATCCCACCATTTTAGTACAAAATGGTTCCTGGGACTAAGTAATACTCATAACCAAACGCGGGATAAAATAATCCTGCATTTTATCCCGGAATTATTATCCCTTGTCTCACCAACCAAACTATCCCTTAGATCATTGCTATCCATATTTTAGAAAGCTAGCATAACTACCCTGGTGGACCCACACTGAAAGAAAGGTTGTAAATTTGAACTTTCCATTTAATTTGGCTAGTTAAGAATAAAACAAAGGCTCTAGGACAGGCTTTGTTCTCATGTGAAGGGGATTGATGTAGCGTATATGTGGCCTTAATAAACTCAAGTACCATGGTGAATTTAGGCTTTTGTCAGATTGATTTAGTAGTGTATCCGGGAGCTTCTCTTCTTTGAACTCTTAACATTTAACATTCTGACAATTTGTATTGACCTTTTTCCATGGTTGGTGGTTTATATAGTTTTGCTTTATTGTGCATTGAAGATGTGTTTGGGAAAATTAACTTGCTTAGCTATCTTCTTTTATTCCTGTCTTTTAAAATAGTATCTTCTTTTCCTGTAGGGTGATCTTAGAGACGCTTTATATTTGAGGCAAAATCTTTTGAGAGCTGTTTTGGCTGTTCCTTTCTGGAAGGTTTGTTATATTATACTGTTATATGTTGTTAGATAGTTAGTAGTTATGTAAATTAAGTATAGTCCCACATGGAATAGGAGAAGAGTAGGTATTGTGTATTGTTATAAATAGGGTTCTTGTATTATAGTTAACACACATCAATAATATAATTTTCCCGTGTATTATTCCTCACATGGTATCAAGTCGTGAGTGAGACACATCTGGGAAAGTCAGACAGTCGTTGTGCGTCAAATTCCGGCGACTTTCTAGGGCTGATTTACATCAGATCAGTCTCTGTTGGTGTTGTGCGAAAACCAATACCACCATAGGGCCCCAGCCTCCCAGACCAAACCCCAATAATAACCTTCGGCAACCGACTCCTCACGTGCTTTCACACACCGATCACTCCATGCGCTGGCGCGTGGAGCCTTTTCTGGCTATTTTTGAAAGTCTTTCTTCAGGACAGTGTGATCGCCCAGTGGTTCCGAGCCTACTCTTCTCCTATTCCATGTGGGACTATACTTATTTACATACCTACTAACTATGTGTTATTATCCCTTTTTGTGGGTAAAGTAATATTTTGTTGATGTTTTAGGGTAATGAAACATCGTTTACAAGTTGTATACCAAAGATAAGGAACCTGCATAAAAATATTGTTCTCCAATCTCTACCAAAGGACAACCAATTGTCTATATAAATAGGGATCTTTTGGATGCACCAAAACTTAATGAAAAACAAAAGAGATGTCCTAATCTGTGCAAGATCATATTCACCCGTTTGGACGCGTGTCTGTTCCTTTCCTTTAAAGCACACTTATGTCACCCACATAAGTGTATTTATCTTTTAACTGATTTTGGCTAACGATGGTGACTGAAAATGTGAAGAACATGAAAGGTGCAAGAATGTATTTCATGATTCTCCTACTCATTTGATGTTGTTCCTGGTATGCTTATCCTTTCCCTCATTTATGGAGCATCTAATATTTAGTCTTTTGAAAGCCTAAATAGGCACAGCAAATGTGGTAGAACTGGACTCCATTATTGATTCTCTCAGCTCTTTATACACATTGTAGAGCTCTTACACTTTTGGATGTACATTTCACCAGCATTATCTTTTTGCTTGTTTACATAAAAAAAAACACATATGTTACCTATTATAAAAAAAGCCTGTATTTGTGCAAAGGTTATAGCATCTGACCTTTTTGTCTTTATTTTTGCCCCAATTATTTTAGTAGTACGCAATTTATCGATACCAATACCCCATATAGGAAAGCTGTATGAAAGAATTCTTTTCTACATAAGCATTCCAATCTTACATGTTTGGGTTAATCATGTTTGCACCAAAACTATGCCAACAAAATAAAAAAATAAGACCTCCATCTTTATTTGAAACAAGGTCTTCGCATTAAAAGCTTGATGATTCCTTTTTCTCACTCTAGTCCAGATTGCTAAGGAGTCACTTCCAATGCTCTATTTCTTCTTTTTGTTTACTATTTGAGTTTCTGACATTTAAGTAAAGCCCTGTATTTGGAATTACACAGTGAATACCCGAAATAATTTCTGGATAAGAAAAAGATATCTGGATCTAACTCCACATGTTGTGATGACTATGGAGTGAAAGAGTAGTTTGATCTACACAACTTCCCCTGCTTCTTTACGTTTGTAACGCCCATTTACATGGTTTCTTAATCAAGTTAATGGCTAACACACCTTTGTGTATATTCTGGACTATCTGGCTAGAGAGGAATAGAGCTTGCTTTGATGGACAGCGAGATCATATTGTTAGAGTTAGAAGCAGGTGTTTGCATAATCTGTTTATTTGGTGTAAGAGTAGTCTGATTGATAGTACTGATCATTATATTGACTTCTTGGAGTTACTAGGGAAATGCTGTAATTGTTGACTGTATGGTTACTCCCAGCAGTCTTTGGTAGCTTTCTTGTCCCGTCTTGATACTTGATTAATAAACCTTTACCTTATTAAAAAAACACCCATGTTGGGTGCTTTTCCAATTTCCACGGCACCTCATTAGTGGTATTTACATGGTCTTGTCCTTTGCTTCCTTAGATGTTCCAGCTGTTATGTTGGCTGTTCTCCCAATTTTTCTTGGAGCCCTCCTATTCCACTGTTTGGGAAGGGTAAATCTTTTCTCCCTATTTAGTAGTTTTGACTTCATACTGAAGCAAAACCCCTCTAGTGCTCCTTCCATATCCTGGAGTTGCTCTCTTCCCCATAATCGATGAAGTCAAATGAGTAGCTCCTTCTTCTCCTTACCATGCAAAGCCTACTGATGCTTCCATCCAAAATCACTATACCTCCGGGCTCCTTCCCTCTTTGATGTATTCCCTACCCAGCTACCCTGATTTTGCGAGATGAAAAAGGCTGCTGAATTTCTCTTTTTCCAAAGGCGATCTCATGGTTCAGAATGTTCTTAGAATGTAATCCTACTTCCCTCCCTTACCTTCAACTGGATATTTTTCTTAATCTTTCATAAGCTATCATTCCTTTCTTTTCGTTTTGGGTTCCATAATGGTTGTCAATGAGGTTGAATTCTTCACAATCCACTTCTAACCTGATCTTTCAGCCACTGATCTCCTCTATGACATCTCTTCCTCCAACCAGACCTTCCCTCCCATGAAATCTCAATTAATCAGTTATATCTCTCACCCGCAGACGTCCACCCTTATTGTAAGAGGTAACCTTTGCTCCATGGGATGATATTTTGTTCACTTCATCTAACGGAGAATTTCCCTGAAAATGTTCGTTTATATCTGCCACATTAGCTGGGAAGTTGAGCAGATATGTAAATGAGTAGGGAACTAGAGAATCTGCTTTTGATTAGGGCAGTTTCCTCCTATGCAAGAGAATTTTGTTGCTGACTTGCTAATCTTTATATCTGGAGCACTGGGCTCCATGCTGTCCTTTCTTTATAACTGGTTCCCAACGGCAGTTCTGAAATAAGTGGAGGGAAGAGAACCCACCTTGCTTTGAGCAATCTGTACAAGGTTGAGATATAATGGCACTTCTCCCTCTACTGCGTTTGAGATAATCTTCTGCTGTCTGACTTCTTGAAGCCAAATCAATGTCCCTCTTTGATGTCTCTATTGCCCATCCTTTAGTGAGCCATTTATCAGCCCCTAGAACCTGACTGAAACATGAAAAAATTGATCATGTTCTCCACTTGGGCGGCAAAAGCCTTCTTTCTCATAATAAACTCCAGGATTCTCATTGTGAGAAGGCACGGGAGAAAATATGTTATTGATATTGGATGATAAATACAATACAAGAGGTCCCTATTTATAGCTATACACTACAAGGAGATATTACTCCTCTTCCAATGTGGGATAAGACTACACTATACATATCTATAAACTAACACTCCCCCTCAAGCCGGTGCATACA